ATCAGAGTCCATACATATATTCAAACAGCTACTAGATGCATACTGGCAAAAACAGAATATTCAAGGATATAATCTTTCAATGTAGGGTAATAACTGCTTGATCCAAAGATAAATCTGACTGCCATTCTGGGGTCAAGAAGGATTTTTTTTCCTAGCTTGTTGCAAAATTGGAAGTGCTTCAAACTGGGTTTTTTGCCTTCTTTTGGATCAACAGCAAAAAACAAATGTGAGGAAGGCTGAACTTGATGGACGCAAGTCTCTTTTCAGCTATGTAACTATTGTAACTATGAAAAGCCAGGGGTCAGGGATGCCAGAAAACAGGGAAGTCAAAATCAAAGTCAAATAACCAGAAAAACCAGAATCAATAACGCGCTCTCGGACAACCACAAGGGAAACCATGACAGGGCACAGAGCAAGAGGAGAACTGGGCCTAAATACCCCGCCTGTGGAACTGATTGGTTGTAACCAGCCTCTGACCCCAAAGGCAGTTAGCAGGTTCCTATTTGCATGAGTGCTGCTCAGCCTCAATCTCCAGCAGACCCTCCCTCCCAGACCCTCACATCTCCTGGACAGCATCCATGTTGAAGGCAGAATTCCTTGAGAAGAACATGGTTATCAGCAAAAATCAGCACGGTTTTATAAAGCACAGGTCATGTCAAATTAACTTGATTGCGTTCTACAACGAAGTAAGTAGAAGTATAGATCAGGGTGTTGCAGTGGATGTGATCTATTTGGATTTTGCCAAGGCATTTAATACAGTTCCACACAATAGATTAGTGTTCAAACTCAAGGAAATTGGTCTAGATGAAAATGCTTGTTCTTGGGTAGAACATTGGCTTAAAAACAGAGTACAAAGAGTTGTCATTAATGGTAAATTTTCAAGCTGGACAGAGGTGGCAAGTGGTGTCCCTCAGGGGTCTGTTCTGGGACCCCTTTTATTTAACATGTTTATAAATGATCTTGAAGACAGCATTGAAAGTCATGTTTCAGTGTTTGCAGATGACACAAAACTCTGTAAAATAATACAATGTGAGCAAGATATTACTTTGCTGCAGAGGGATTTAGATCAACTGGGAGACTGGGCACTCAAATGGCAGATTAATTTTAATGTTGAAAAATGCAAAGTTATGCACTTTGGCATACAGAATACAGAAGCAACGTATACCCTTAATGGAAGTGAATTAGGGATAACAACACACGAAAAGGACCTGGGAATTGTTATAGACAACAAACTATGCAACAATGTGCAATGTCAATCAGCAGTGGCCAAGGCCAGTAAGGTATTGTCATGCATGAAAAAGGGCATTCATTCTCGGACGAGAATATCATTTTGCCTCTTTATAAATCACTGGTAAGACCACATATTGAATATGCTGTGCAATTTTTGGCACCTGTTCTAAAGAAGGATATTATGGCACTAGAAAAAGTGCAGTGGCGGGCTACAAAATTAATAAAAGGAATGGAACATATCAGCTATGAAAAAAGGTTAACAAATTTAAACCTATTTAGTTTAGAAAAACGTTGCCTGAGAGGGGATATGATAACATTATACAAAAATATTCGGGGGCAATACAAACCATTGTGTGGAAATCTATTCACAAACCGGACTTTACATAGGACACGAGGTCATGCGTTTAGACTGGAAGAAAGAAGATTTCGTCTAAGGCAAAGGAAAGTTTTTTTTTTTCACTGTAAGAACAATAAGGATGTGGAATTATCTGCCTGAAGAAGTGGTTTTATCAGAGTCCATACATATATTCAAACAGCTACTAGATGCATACTGGCAAAAACTGAATATTCAAGGATATAATCTTTCAATGTAGGGTAATAACTGCTTGATCCAAAGATAAATCTGACTGCCATTCTGGGGTCAAGAAGGATTTTTTTTCCTAGCTTGTTGCAAAATTGGAAGTGCTTCAAACTGGGTTTTTTGCCTTCTTTTGGATCAACAGCAAAAAACAAATGTGAGGAAGGCTGAACTTGATGGACGCAAGTCTCTTTTCAGCTATGTAACTATTGTAACTATGAAAAGCCAGGGGTCAGGGATGCCAGAAAACAGGGAAGTCAAAATCAAAGTCAAATAACCAGAAAAACCAGAATCAATAACGCGCTCTCGGACAACCACAAGGGAAACCATGACAGGGCACAGAGCAAGAGGAGAACTGGGCCTAAATACCCCGCCTGTGGAACTGATTGGTTGTAACCAGCCTTTGACCCCAAAGGCAGTTAGCAGGTTCCTATTTGCATGAGTGCTGCTCAGCACAAACCCTCCTGTGGATTGATTGCTGCTTGGCACAGCTTTTCCTGTCAGAACAGTAAATGCCATTAATCACATTTTTATATGCAGATGAATACATGACACCTGTGTCCCATTCCTACAACTCTCCCCCCCACTCCATGGGTCCCATTGTTACCTCTCTCCCCTCCATGTGTCCCATTGTTCCCTCTCTCCCCCTCCCCTCCATGTGTCCCATTGTTCCCTCTCTTCCCCCTTCCTTCTCTGTGTCCCATTCCTACTTCTCTTTCTCCCTTCCAGGACCAGCATTTCTCTGCCGCGGTTCCCGGTCTGACAGGAAGTGCTGTGTCAGTGACCACTTCCTGTCAGACCGCTCGGCCACGCTACACACTGCCAGCATTGGGAACCGCGGACCCAGGCCGGTGCGGCTGAGCACCAGCCCATAAGTTATCCAGACGGCCCACGGTTGCAGGTCTCTAACATCCACCACTCCGTGATGTCATAATGGAGGAGTGGAAGAGGACTCCAGTGGCAACCTTTGAAGCTCTGGTGAACTCCATGCCCATGAGGGTTAAGGCAGTGCTGGAAAATAATGGTGGCCACACAAAATATTGACACTTTAGGCCCAATTTGGACATTTCCACTTAGGGGTGTACTCACTTTTGTTGCCAACGGGTTAGACATAATTGGCGGTGTGGTGAGTTATTTTGAAGGGGCAGCAAATTTACACTGTTATACAGGCTGTACACTTACTACTTTACATTGTAGCAGAGTGTCATTTCTTCAGTGTTGTCACATGAAAAGATATAATAAAATATTTACAAAAATGTGAGGGGTGTACTTGCTTTTGTGAGATACTGTATCTATGTGGTTAATGGAGCCTCTTTGTCTTGTAGATCTGTATAGGGATTGCATTAGGAGCAGAGGGCTTTGAACTGGGGTTGGAATGGGCATGGGGACTACCAAGACAACCACAATGTATTACGCTCCATTCCAAACGCCAAGCATGGAAAAAGGGTCAGCAGCCATTCATTGGGTCTGTAACTGGCTAGATGTCCCTCGGGTCTACTATACACGAAAAAGGGAAAGTATTTATTAGGCCAAAAAGAGAGAGCGAAATAATTTTCCTATCTCCCCAGCCAACCAGAAAATTGGAATGAGGATTAGGAAAATAGGTCAGGATGGTGGTACCAGCTCCACCTAAATATGGGCTTGAACCCAGGTATTATGTATGGGAAACGAAAATAAACTAAATAGGAGAGATAACCCCCTAGGAGGTCCTCCGGATAGCTGGTATAAAAGATATGTACACCATTGATATGATGTTTCTCAAAAATTCTTGGAGAATATGTAAGGTGTAAGCAGTAAAAGCTCTAGTGTCTCTGGTAAGGCCAAAGTTATCTTAGGGCAAAAATGAATATAGGAGCGGAAAAGCTTTATTGACCTTGTAATGCCCAAAAGATACTATAGTGACGATATAACCAGTGGCTAATAAGACACAATCTATATTCCCCCCATGTCACCTAAACTGGGTGTGAATTTGATGGCAATCCACAATAATGTGGGAGCTCAGCGTTATACAAATAGACACCCCAGACTAAAGAGGAGGGGGGATAGAGAAGAGGGAGGACAAATAACAGATAACAGGGTACCCTGATCAATATGTGAACGGGATCCTGAGACACAAACGCTCAGGATCCCGTTCACATATTGATCAGGGTACCCTGTTATCTGTTATTTGTCCTCCCTCTTCTCTATCCCCCCTCCTCTTTAGTCTGGGGTGTCTATTTGTATAACGCTGAGCTCCCACATTATTGTGGATTGCCATCAAATTCACACCCAGTTTAGGTGACATGGGGGGAATATAGATTGTGTCTTATTAGCCACTGGTTATATCGTCACTATAGTATCTTTTGGGCATTACAAGGTCAATAAAGCTTTTCCGCTCCTATATTCATTTTTGCCCTAAGATAACTTTGGCCTTACCAGAGACACTAGAGCTTTTACTGCTTACACCTTACATATTCTCCAAGAATTTTTGAGAAACATCATATCAATGGTGTACATATCTTTTATACCAGCTATCCGGAGGACCTCCTAGGGGGTTATCTCTCCTATTTAGTTTATTTTCGTTTCCCATACATTTATTAGGCCAACCCAAATTTAATGACGGATTTAAGGTAGCAACCAAAAACTTGCTCATATTCAAAGTTATAGAACAAGGTAAATATCTGAAACCAAACAACTCGGCTGTCCCCATGAATAAAATATATATGGCAGGCCTAGGAAATAACAGCTTAGACTGAATAACTATCATTTAGAATGATAAGTGCATTAAATCTTTAAAAACACGGGCCCCTGAGGGCTTTTCATCTCCATTACAATATTTGCAGCACCACCAGCTGAAGGCTTTTCAGCTGATATTTACAAATAATAATACATTTTACTAGGCGATTTGTTTTAAATTTTTAATGTTAATTAATATTGCTTTTGCTCTTTTTGTATAAATAGTCTAGTATCATCAGCAAAGACACTTTTTATATAAATTATTTAGTTTGTCGTCTGAGCAAGTAGCAGATAATTTGAAGTTCATCATCACACAGAGTGCGCAAAGTAAGTAAAAGTAAACAAATATGTAAACAGCAAAATAAAGAAAAGGAGGCTAGACGGAAAAAAAAATTAAGGGGTGGTGGTAGGGAATGGGAGTTTTTCCATCACAATAATAATAAACAAACATAGGGTTATTCATGAAAGTGAAAAATCAAAGTGAATTTAAAATTTAAGGTAAAAATCCTGTAAATCAGCTTTTCTTTCTGTTCGGCTACTCTGACCTTAAAAGGACTCTAAATTAAGTGGTTTGAGTGCCATGTCCCTGACCACTTGCAGCTGAAAACATTGTTATTCTGCAGGTACTACATTCCATACTGACGGCCACTAGAGGCACTCCTGCTAAATAGCAGAGTAAAACTCCACTATTTCTATCTGATTGTTTTAGAAAAACCATCTAATTAGCACAGTGCACTAGTCTCCCAATGCTTTCCTATGGGAAAGCATTAACTTGGCTGAGATCATTGATCTTGATGATATCAGCCAACCCTCACACGGCAGGGGAGATTGTAATACAGTAAAATAAAACCAATAGCGTTGGGAATACATTCCAAACGCTAGAGTGCTCCTTTAAGGAAAAATAGTCACCTCAAAACTATTTTTAATTTATTAATCTTTTCATCAAATTCTTTATTTCAGAGCACAGAGAAACATTCTAACTGTTCCGACATTAAAGGAGCACTATAGTCAACATATAAAAGCAAGAAAGACAGGTCCCCTAGCCTTCTTTCTTGCTTCATATGTACGTCCCATTAAAAATAAATAAATCCGAGCCCTTTTTATTATATAAACTTACCTCCGTTCCAGCGCCGAGCTCCTCGGCAGGCAGCGCCCCCTTTTTTGTCAAAATGATAATGCAGCAGGGCTCAATCAGACGCTTCTTAGAAAAGTGTCATAGCGATCTGGTGCACATGCGTGACTTCACGCTGCATCAATCGCGTTCTTCAATGCCACCCTATGAATGAACACTGAGTGCTCTACCGCGCATGTGCACGGTATGTGCATTCGCGAGCTGAGCTGACTGACAGCTCGCTGTCTATGCCCGCCCCCCTCCTACGGCAACCCTCCAGCCCAAAGTTAGTATACAAACACTATATATAGTGAAATCTCTATATATAGTGTTTGTACACAAAAACACACATTGAAAATAAATAGTGTTAAACACACACGCACACTCTATCTCTATTTTTTTCTTTATATTTCTATCAATCTATTTTTTCTTTATATTTCTATTTTTTTCTTTATATTTCTATCGATCTATTTCTTTCTATCTGTCTATTTCTATCTATTTCTATCTATCTCTTTCTCACACACACTCTCTCACTCAGTGTCTCACTCACACTCTCTGTCACTCACAGTCTCTCTCACTCACACTGTAGACTGTCTCACACACACACTCTCTCACACTCAAACTCAATTTTTAAGTTTAAAATAAGTGTACTTACTGCTTAAAGTCAGGAGATCTCTGCATCTCCTGTGAGCTCGAGCCGACTTTGTGTGCAGGAGATGTTATCTCCCACACTGTCGGCTCTGATTGCTGACAGGCTCTGGGTTACTACAGGGAACAGGAGGCGTGTTCACAGTGCCTCCTGCCATCACGTTTGATGTATTTACCCAAGCGTGAAGACGTCAAATGTGATGAATGCGAGTTAGGCAGCCCTGAACTCGGAAGTCCCTCTGGTGGCAGTCTGAGTGACTGCCACTGTTGGTGTTTCTAGGTTCTAATGTAAGCACTGTATTTTCTCAGAAAATGCATTGTTTACATAAGAAAGGCTGCAGGGAGCTATTCTCACCTGAACAACTTCATTAAGCTAAAGTTGTTCAGGTGACTATAGTGTCCCTTTAAGTAAAAAGCACTTCTATGGCAATAACCTGTCGACCCTGGTTACTTAAGAAGGTTAGTACAATTTTGTTGTAGACATGGCCAACTATCTGCACCTGAGAAGAGCGCTGTATATGAGGTTTAGGCAACCTCTTTAAATTGGTGGATTTCAAATTGTGCATACAGTGATGGTAGTAATGCATGAAGTGATGTCATAAAAGAAAATATCCCTGACATAAACAGTAAATGTTCAGTGTCACAGTCATTTGCTGGCACTAGCTTACCTGGGTACTAAGGTATTTAAAGGGACACTCCACTACCCAAATATAAAATAAATTAAAAGCACTGTTTAGCAGATATACCCCAAATGAAAACTTGCATGTATTTAATTATGCATTTTTTTTTATTGGAGTTATATCTAAAAACAGCTTGCAAAACATGCAGATCTCTTGTCTGCTGCCTCTGCAAGCCCTCCCCTTCTAACCCCGCCCAGACTTTCTGTGGCTGTCCAATCACAGACTTCCTAATGCAGCTCAGTGAGAAGTCTTTGCAAAGCAGGTGCTATGGGCAATTGCTGCCTCTTGAGTTCAGTGCAAATAAGCTAACCAAACCAAGACCTCTTGTCTGCTTGAAAGGCCAGGGGTTGTAACCAGCTTAATTTATAAAAGTTTCAATTTCTCCTAAAATCTGCACTTTTTCCAAAATGAAAGAAATAGGGCAAACTCTTCACACATAAAGCATTTTAGAAAGCTAAAGTGCTTTAGGGGTCTGGAGTGACCCTTTAAATATTTATTTTAAAAGGCATCAAGCAAGTGGGTAGTTACAACGTTTGTCACTAAAGCGAGAATTGTTGGGAATTGGCTACTTTGGCATTAACTCTCAGATCACCATAACGTATTGTTTGATGGGTAGTCCCCAAATATTTAGCTCAGAGATCTAGGCCAGTTTAGATATTTTTCACCTCAATATTTCTTTGCACAGTAAAGTAAAAATAAATACACAAAATAAATATAAAAGTTTCTGGAAATTATGTAAATTTCATATAGTGCCCTGAACCCATCATTTGTCAGAGAGGGATTACTAAATTAGCTATATTCTTAATAATTGTAATAGTTTATTTGTTAAACAGTAAATGAAGGTAATTGTAAAATGTGGGATAAAATCGCTATTTTGGCTTCAAGTTTGCTGCTAATTAGGATTTGCTGTTTAATCCATTTATGTATATTTCAGGGTTTGGATGCTTCAGTAAATGTATTTCCAATCCTAGATAAGTCAAAGCATGATAACTAAGAATATCAGACAATTAAAGGACCACTACAGGCACCCAGACCACTTCAGCTTAATGAAGTGGTCTGGGTGCCAGGTCCAGCTAGTAACTCTTTCTTCTATAAACATAGCAGTTTCAGAGAAACTGCTATGTTTATAATAGGGTTAATCCAGCCTCTAGTGGCTGTCTCATTGACAGCCGCTAGAGGCGCTTCTGCACTTCTCACTGTGATTTTCACAGTGAGAAGACGCCAGCGTCCATATGAAAGCACTGAGAATGCTTTCCTATGGACTGGCTGAATGCGCGCGCGGCTCCTGCCGCTCATGAGCATTCAGCTGATGACGTCACTATGGAGGAGGAGAGTTCCCCGCCCGGTGCTGGAGAAAGAGGTAAGTTTAACCCCTTCCTCCCCCTAGAGCCCTCCCCCACAAGTATGTTTTCCTGGCACTATGGCACCCAGACCACTTCAGCTTAATGAAGTGGTCTGGGTGCCAGGTCCAGATAGGATTAACCCTTTTTTTTATAAACATATGTTTACACTGAGGGTTAATCCAGCCTCTAAAGGCTGTCTCATTGACACAGTGAGAAGACGCCAGCGTCCATACGAAAGCATTATGAATGCTTTCCTATGAGACTGGCTGAATGCGCGCGCGGCTCCTGCCGCGCATGCGCATTCAGCCGATGACGTCGCTAGGAAGGAGAGGAGGAGGAAAGCTTCCCGCCCGGCGCTGGAGAAAGGTAAGTGTTTAACCCCTTCCTCTCCCCAGAGCCCGGCGGGAGGGGGACCCTGAGGGTGGAGGCACCCTCAGGGCAGTATAGTGGTCCTTTAAAGCCAGATATTAGTTTAACTGTATAGTGTGCTGGTTAGGGGAATATTTCTGTTTACAATCCCACATCTGGCCACAGGGAGTAAAGAGTAAAATTATTTTTAAGTTAATATTTTCACATTGACTTTCTTAAAGGAAAACCATATTGTCAGGAATATAGTTTACTATTAAGTTTGGGATACCGGCCCCACTCTGATCCCACTGAAAAAGTGATTTTACTCACTTTTTCTCCCATGCTGTGCCGGTCAGGCTTTATAGGAATCTCATAGGCATGCGTAGTAAAACATCATGCAGTGCCAAGCAGCATCTCCTGATAGAGATGCATTGAATAAATTCTCTTCTATGAGGAGGTTCAGCTTCTCTGAGGAGACACTGAATGCCTGGACTGGGTAAGACCTTTAGTGGTCGTCTAAGTGACTGCACCAAGAGTTGTTACTAGGCACCAATGCAAGCACTGCCTTTTCTTTTAAAATGAAGCATTTACATTGAAAAGTGGCGTCACAAAGCGTGGGGGGGGGGGGGCATGGCCCCCCGTACATCATGTAGTGCCACCCCAATTGAAATTGAAGTCAGGAGCACTGCGTCTCCCTTCTCACGCTGCAGCAGCAATGTTACTGGTGGACTTTTCCTACCTGCGGCCAGAGGGGGCACTGTGCTGGGAGGACTTCCTCCTGGGTCATAGAGAGCAGCGCAGGGGAGAGACAGGGAGAGGAAGCTCAGCTCTGCACAGAGGCATCCAGGCAGCTGCTGGTAAGTGTTAATCAGTGTGTGTGGTTCAGTCTGTGTGTGTGAGTCAGTGTGTATGGGTCAGTCTGTGTGTGTATTGGTGTGGGGGGGTCAGTCTGTGTGTGGGGGGACAGTCTGTGTGTGGGGATCAGTCTGTGTGTGTATTAGTGTGGGGGGGTCAGTCTGTGTGAGTGTGTGCATGGGTCAGTCTGTGTGGCGTGGGTGGGTCAGCCTGTGTGTGGGGGGATCAGTTTGTGTGGGGTTAGTCAGTCTCTGTGTGTATGGGTCAGTCTGTGTGTGTATGGGTCAGTCTGAGTGTGTGTGAGTCAGTCTGTGTGTGTGGGCCAGTCTGTGTGTGAGGGAGGGTCAGTCTGTTTGTGTGTAGGGGGTCAGTCTGTGTGGGGGGGGGATGTCTGTGTATGTATGGGTTAGTCTGTGTAATGGAGCAGTCTCTGTGCGTGTATGGGTCAGTCTGTGTGTGGGGGGCAGTGTGTATGTGTGTGTGTATGGGTCTGTCTGTGCATGGGTCTGTCTGTGTATGTGTATGGGTCAGTCTATGGGCTTGTATGGGTCAGTCTGTGGGTTTGTATGGGTCAGTCTGTGGGTTTATATGGGTCAGTCTGTGGGTTTGTATGGGTCAGTCTCTGTAAGTGCTTGAGCTCCAAGAGACAGAACTCTCATCTCGTGACCTCCCCTGTACCCGATGGATAGGCAGCCTTCTCAACCACCATGGATTTGATTGTGCCAACCCCTCCCTGCAAGGTAAGATGAGGGAAAGGGGAATATTCCTTTTTTAATTTTTTTGTAAACAATTATTAAAGTAAAAATTGTAAAGCTCTTCACTGTACCACTCTCTACACATACAGTACACCCTCATAGACAGTGAATCCCCCACATACACTCCCACCAACACAGAGTACACCTTTGCATACACACACAGTGTACCCCTCACACACATCATCTCTTCACCCACATACACACTTCTTCCCCACATACCTTTACCTCCACAAACACATGCATACATACATACATACATACATACATACATGTTTAACCCCATTACACACCATATATCATATGTAAATATATATATATATATATATATATATATATAACCCCTTAAGGACTGAGCCAAATGTACACGTTGTGATCAAAAGAAAACGTAAACAAAAACTTGAATTTGCGCTGTTCAGGCGTAATTTACCTCTTTCATATTATGTGCACCCACACTTCTTATATATCTTTTTATTCAGCGGAAACAGGGCTTTCATTTAACATTCATTTAACATCAAACAATAGGTATAAAACATAATTTAATATGAATAAAATATAAAAAAATGAGAGAAAATAAGAATGTTTTAAAAATGTTTTGTTCTACGTGGCATTCAAACTGGGGACTTGGGACCTACACCATGCAGAGCGGGAAAGAGACGACCGCTCTCCTGGCTCACCCAACACTGCAGCACCCGAAGCATTGGGCCTCCCCCCCCTTAAGACCGGTGGGGGTTATCCCGGTCCACGCCAGCGAGTACCACATGCATACACGGACCGCAGAAGATGGCAGCGGCCTTAATCATACCCCCAACCAGCAAACCGCTACTGGCAAGATGGCGACCGAAATGGCCGCCGCCACGTGTGCTCGAGACACAAAGAAATCTGACCTCGAGGCCAGGTCGGACGAGCTGTTCGCCAGATTCTGGAGGAAAATAGCCTCCAAGGGGCAAAAGGCCAAACCAACCTGCTACAATCCTAACCCCAACAAAAGGGCTCACCTCCTCGTGCAAACAAAGCCAGTGGGCGGCAAAACCGAACAGCATGTAAGCCCAAACGACTACCACTGCCTATAACAGCGACCCATCAATACTGGGGCCCGGCAAACCTAAACCTACATTCGAGGCATGAAAAGGCTACCCTGCAGCAGCGACACACTATGGCAAACAGGGGCCGGACAAAACCGTGGGGTCCCGGGCAGATCATGCTGCAACTCCCCTACAGACGCCACACAGAGGCAGACCCGTGCCTAGGCATATCTCGGAGGCGACACCACAACCTGCAGCATACCACCTCACACAGACTTTCACTGGTTAGCAGGTCTACCTCACCAGAGTGGGGCTATGAACTCACCTTCGCAAAGACCTCCCACACCGATCGAAGAAGATGGATGCACCATACCGCCAAGCGGATCCCTGTGACCAGACTGCAGGCCCCGCGATCTGGAGTCGACTAGGTGATCACTTTAAACTGGCTACCGGAGCTAGACACCTACTTCGGGTTCCACTGGGACACTTATTGACGTTACTTACAATGCAGACATATCGAATTACAGACAGCGGAGGACTCTAGTTACGGCAAGAGAGCAAATATGTACTTTGATAATCATTTTCTTTAGCTGTATATCTGCCTTATAACTGTAACTAAGCACCACATGCACAGCCAGCCCCATTATCGCCAACTAACCACTATGCTCAATGCCTTATTAGCGCTGAGTACTTGCAGCACACAATTTAATTCGGCACACAGCTCTGTCCATGGCAGCGGCCACGGGGGGAATGAGCAACTACATACCGAGCTTCTCCAAAACAGGAGGGCGTCTTGAAAAATGAAAATATTAAGGGCGCCTTGAACCTAAAAAGTTTGGGAACCACTGGTGTAGATGTAAATTACATCATGTGCACAGCTTAGATACAGACATTTTGGCACTGTATATGATGTATATGGCCACGGCTAATAATGCATAAGTCATTTAAGCCAGGCCGAGACTGGCCATCAGGCATACCAGTAAGAGAACACGCTCACCACTAGGACCACCAGGGATGGCAGCACGGTTCCCCCTCCCAGACTAAAGGTAAGAAGGGAGGGGGGAAGTTTATTATTATTTTTTATTAAATACATATTTAATATATTTAAATCAACCCCCCACCCACATACACACAATCCTAA